TATCATTGGAATAAGCTTGTATTTGGATTGAATATTACGGTATAGCGGGTTGGTTCTAATAGACAGAGTTGTGCAGGATGGCACCTTGCAGAGCGGCGGCACTAGACGGGTCGGGTAAATAAAGTAGGACAGTGACTCAGTCATGCACGAAGTTGCCACCCACAGAGAAGCAGCACTGCACCAGGCATGGGGTCCTATAAAGGAAGTAAGGTGGGGAGTTTTGGGACAAGGGTGGGCAAGATGGCGCTGCATAGGGAAGCAGCACCACACCAAAGGGTAACCATTCTGTTAAAATCTTCAGCGTTGATAGCAACCGGAGAAACCACTTGGTCCAGGATATCATCACTTAGGGATGCGCGGATACCGAGTATTTGGGAGAGTACTTGTACTCACCCCAAATGCTCCAATACTTATCCCGGATACCGGAACCTCCGGTCAGAGGGAAATCTCCCTCTGGCCGGCAGTGCCGACGGAGCATAGAGCTGGCTTCCTTTCCAATCAGGTTATGACCCGGCTTCCTGATTGGTTAGAAAGCTGGCTTCACTTGTTGCTAGGCAGGCAATCAGGAAACCAGGCGGCATGTAATGACCCACCTCCCGGCTTCCTGATTGGTCAGGAACCCAGGCTGCCTAGGAACAAGTGAAGTGGGCTTCCTAGTCAACGAGGAAGCCAGGAGGTGGGTCATGACGTGTTGTCCGGCTTCCTGATTGGTTTGGAAGCCACACTGTCCAGCAACATGTGCTGTCCGCCTTCCTGATTGGCTAGGAAGTCAGCTTCACTTGTTGCTAGATAGCGTGGCTTCCTGACCAATCAGGAAGCCAGGACGCGAGTCATGATGTGCCGCCCAGCTTCCTAGTTGGCTAGGAAGCTAGCTTCACTTGTTGGTAGGCAACCTGACTGCACTTGTTGCTAGGCAGCCTGGCTTCCTGGCCAATCAGGAAGCCGGACGACACCTCATGACTTGCCGCCCGGCTTCCTGATTGGTGAGGAAGCCAGGCAGCCTCAGCAAGTGAAGCCGGTGTTCTTTCGCTAGAACACCGGCTTTACAGGCAATCGGGAAGCCGAGTGACGCGTCATGATCCGCCGCCCAACTTCCTGATAAATCGGGGCACGCATTAAACTTTCCCATTATGAAAGCCAGAAGAGACCCAGTTCACACACAGCAGCTGCTCAGATTTGCAGACTGTTCTGGCTGAACATGTTTTTCGGGGACACACCCCCTTCCTTAGAGCCAAGCTTGGAGGAAGGGGTGCGTGTCCCCCCAAAACGCGTATGAACAGCGTCTTTGGTCAGTGTTCCCTTCTGGCTTTTATAATGGGAATATTTACTGATGTGGTTTATGGATGCACATACATTCAAGTGTTTCTGCGAGTATACAGATGTCCTTATACAATAACAACTCCTTTATTACACAATATGGAACTGGGAAAGCGCTTTAAAGAGAACCTAAGACAGGTGCAGGCAACCTCAGCACTCCAGCTGTGGTGAAGGTACAAGCCTCTGGGAGTCATGCCTGTGGCTGTCAGTCGGGCCGTTTAAATGCCGCATCTGGACGCAGCGGCTCTCTTGCGCTGTCCACACAAACCACTGGATGCGTCTAATCACGCCGAACCGCTAGCCATGGATACAAACTGTCTGGGTCCAGGGCAGGCCAGAGATCCTAATTGCATGTAACTGCTCGTATGTGTGGTTACCTGTGAACAGCGGCAGCCATTGATTTGTACAGTGTACAAATCTGGCCACGTTGCTGCTTGCACCTAACTTGCGCATGGGGCTGAAGAGAAGCAAATCGTATGAATGAGGCCCAAGTCATCCCCATCCCAAAACCCTGTTCAGGTGTCAGGTCCCTGTCTTTGCCTTTTGATACATCTATCAATCCGCTGCCTTCCCATGACCTTCCCTTTTTGCCTGTCTAGAGGCCAAGCTTTTGCACCAATGAGGAAGACTCGAGACCTACAATTCTTTCTTCTCAAAATCCAAACCTGTTCGGCATGCCCTAAACCGGGGTCGGCAACCTTGGCAATCCAGTTGTGGCAACACAGGTCCCATCATGCCTCTGTTGGCCATGTTCATTGCTGTCAAGAGTCTTGCATCACCTCATGGGACTTGTAGTTCAACAACAGCTTGAGTGCCGAGGTTGCCTATCGCTGGTCAAGACTTGGGGTGGGACATACCTGTCATTGGTAAGGGGGCCACTGTAGTCTCGGGTACGCTAGCCATGGCCCATCACTCTGCTGCGGGTGACTCTGTGGAGTGAAAGGAAAAAGTTAAAGTTGGCCCTTAGGGTCACTGTGCTCTCGTCGTCCTCCTCCATCTCACCTTGCTTATAATGTCATACGTCTGTGACCCGTGGTTAGCAGTTAGTGCTTATTTGGCATCCCGGATGCTGCCAAGCACTTTACATATTAAGTGAGGGAACCTTCTTTAGCAGTCCTGCTATTATATGTATAGTATACTGGACGGGAGTTACATTTAGTCTCCAGAGCTCCTTGTAGATGCTGCTCGGGGGCCTTTTCTTGTTTTGATGACAAAGGGATTTAATTATATGTCACATTCCAATATGAACTCGTGCTTTAGAAACTAATTTATTAATGGTTTGTAGATCCGGATGTGAAGATCAGCTTAAATCAGCGCTTCTCAATCTGTGTAACCTCAGGACCCAGATGTGTCCTTGGTCATTAAGTGGCTACCCAAGTGGCACGGCAATAGAACGCATGGCAGTGCAGTACCGTGCGTTCTGGTGCGGGCGATTGAACTGTGGGCGGGAGGTGTGCTTTGGGTGCCATTTAAATGAATCGCAACACAACTTCCGCACCAGAACGCGGAGTAGGTGCAATTGCATGGTAAAGTGCGTTAATCGCACAGGATTGTTCAATTGGCACACTGTACTAGTGTACACGGGCCACAAAATGACTGACAGACACACACAACCACAGATGCAATCTTTTTAAGGTCCACCCAGTCTCGCTACCTTACGAGATCTGGAGTGGATCATCAGCCTGGGGACCAATGTGGGCTGCTGTGCTGTGACGGAACTCCATCCATACGTGCATTGCTGGTACAGATCCCTGCATGCTCTGGTGCCGGGAGCCAGACTTATGTTGGGGAAGGAGCGAAGTCCCCCTGTTTGCTGGAGTGGAACCCAATGGCAAGGAACAATACCAGAGGGAGAGTCCAGGCTGAGGTGCAAGATAGGATGATCCAAAGTCGGAGGCAGGCAGCGGGTATCATAAACGGGGAGACAAGGCAGGGGTCCATAACCAGGAGATCCAAATAGCTGGGAGGGAAGGAAGGCAGGAAACGGGAAATGAGGCTTTGCAGCTGCTTTGGTTATGGCAGAATAACTCCGCAACAAGTCTTGGCTCTGGCTGGGATTTAAACCCAGCAGGGGCCAGCGACGCCCCCGTT